ATCCTGGACTAGATGGCTTCATCAGTGACTCCCATCAAACATTTAAAGAAGCATTAGCAACAATCCTTATTAACTCTTCAAAAATGTGAAGACAAAGAAACACTCCTGGGTTCACGCTGTGAGGCCAGCATTACTCTGTTATCAAACCCAGATAAAGACATCACCAGAAAAGAAAGTTATAGACCAGTATCCCTTATGAACACAGATGCAAAAATCCTCCCCAAAAGATTAGCAAATGAAATCCAACAGCATATTAAAAAGATGACTCCTAATGACCAAGTGGGATCTGTGAGAGGTGCAAGGGCGGTCACTGTGGGCAGATCTGTCAGCGAGATGCACAGTACTCAGCACTAACAGAGCAAAGGAGAAAAACCACATGACCAGCTCAACGGATGGAGAAAAGGCATCTGGCAAGACCCAACACTATTTCATGACAAAAAACTCTCAGAAAACTAGAAATAGAAAATTCGTCAACATGATGAAGGGCCCTTATGGAAAAACCCACAGCTCACGCCACATGCAGTGGTGAGGCTGAAGCTCTCTCACTAAGACCAGGAACAAGACAAGGTCGCTGCTTCCACTGCTGCTATTCCACCGGAGGCTCTGACCAGAGCTACTGGATAACAAGGAAGAACACGGTGAGAGGCAGCCAGACTGTGTGTGCTACACTGGAAAAGAAGAGGTAAAACTATCTCTATTCACAGATGACATGATCCTATGCAGAGAAAATTCTTACAAATCCACAAGAAAGCATTAGAGTCAATTAATGAATTCAGAAAAGTTGCAGGGCACAAGATCAACACACAACAATCAGCTGTGTTTTTATGCACCAGGAATGAAAACTCCAAAAAGGAAATTAGGAAGAAAGTTCTACAGACTGAGCTGTGTGCCCCCAAAATTCATATCCCGAGACTCTAACCCCTACTGTGGTGGTATTTGGAGACAGGGCCTCTGGGAGGTAACCGAGGTTAGATAAGGTCACGAGAATGGGGTCCTCACGATAAAGTTAGTGCACTTTCAGAAAAGACACCAGAGAGCTTGCTGTCTCCTTCTGTGTGCCACATGAAGACATGGTGAGAAGGCAGCCAGGCTCTGTGTGCCATGAGACACGGCAAGCAGGCAGCCAGGCTCTGTGTGTGCCAGATGAAGACACAGTGAGAAGGCAGCCAGGGTGTGTGTGCCACATAAAGACACGGTGAGAAGGCAGCCAGGCTCTGTGTGTGCCAGATGAAGACACAGCGAGAAGGCAGCCAGGCATTCATAGCCAGGAAGATGTTCCTCACCAGAACCCAGCCACGCTGGCTCCCCGATCTCAGACTTCCAGGTTCAGACTTTGAGAAATAAATTAAGCCATCCAGTCTATGGTATTTTGTTATGGCAGCCCAAGCTAAGACAGAAAGCATTCCTGTTTATAACAGCACCTTAAAAAATTAAATACTTAGTAATAAATCTAACTAAAGAGGTGAAAGACTTGTATGCTAAAAACTACAAAAGGTTGCTGAAAGAAATTAAAGATCTAAATAAATGAAAAGATAGCCCATGTTCACGGATAGGAAGCCTTAACATTGTTAAAATGTCAATACTACCCAAAGCAGTATTCAACACAATCTCTATGGGTTGCAATAGTCTTTTTAAAAAATATATAATTTTAAAAAGTGATCCTCACATTCATATGGAATTAAAAAACTGATCCTCAAATTCATATGGAATTGCAAGGGGTCCCAAAGAGCTAAAACAATCTTGAAACACAACAAAGTTGGAGGATCCATGCTTCCCAACTTGGAAACATATTACAAAGCTACAGTGACTCAAACAGCATAGTATTGGCAAAATGATACCATATAGGCCAGTGAAATAGAATAGAGAGCCCCAAAATAAACGCTTGCATTTCTGGTCAAATTATTTTCAGCAACAGTGCCAAGACCATTCACTAGGGAAAGCACAGTCTCTTCAAGTGGTGCTGGAAAAACTGGATATCCACATGCAAAAGAATGATGTTGAACCTTTACCTAATATCATATGCAAAAATTAACTCAAA